CCAAAAAAAAAAAAAAAAAAAAAAAAAAAAAAGCCATTTCAGAAATACACACTGATACCCATGCTGTGACAATCACTCTCCTGGTGCTGGACCAATAAGGGAGGCAAGGCCCCTGCCCTCCTGGAGCTGCTGCCTGGGGAGCTGCTTCAAAACACCAGGAAATGCAAACCTCAACTGGCAAGGGCTTCTCCCAAACTAGGTCACTAAGCACTTGGTATCTGTTGTTGCATTTGATGTTCACGCTGCACTCTAAGAAAGGTATCACCGCCTCCCCGTTTTATTGACGATTAAGTCACTCTCCTGTGGTCAGAGAGCCAATCCTTTACCAAAGTGAGGACAGTCCCCAGAGAGGGTGACACCCCTCCGGGTCTCTCACGTCTATCAGTGTGGGGCTTTGCACGCACACAGCAGCGGCCAACACGTGTGGAAGGAAGAACGAGCAGAGGGAAGGAGCGAACGAATGGCAGTAACGGATGCTGAAGAAAGATGTGGAGAGAAAAGAGATGTGACTGGATGCAGCGCTGAAGGATGCATAACAATTTGTGGAGCAAGAGATTAGGCTAAGAGCCCCTGATGCCCGAAGGCAAGCCCTACAATGGGGAAAAGCCTAGTGTTTTCAGGGACCAGGGCTGGAGCAGGTGTGAAGGTGACAGCAGCGATGAGAAAGGAGGCCTGGGGAGCAAGGTTCACGATGCCCTCGAGGCTGGACTCAGATGTCAGACTTGGTTCCCGAAGGCACTGGGCAGCCATGAAAAGCTGCAGAGCAGTGAAGTGCGAGGGTCGGAGGGGTGATACGGGAAGGTCAGGGAGCAATGCAGGAGGGATGAGACAAACATAAACGTCGGTGCAGAGAGAAGAGGCAGCTGAAGGCTAGAGAACTCCAGAGAGGAACACACAGGCAGTGACACCAGTTAGGTGCTGGGGGTGGGGGCGTGGCCAAGAGTTGAGGGCATAGCAGGAGTCAGCCATGACCTGGGGGGCTTCAGACGGTCTTTGTCCGACAGCACTGAGAAACCAAGGGGCTGAGCAGATTTAAGTGAAGAAAATGCTAACTCTTGTTGGGACGCTCCATTCAAGACCGGGAGGCTGAAAGCTGCCAAGTTCTCGCAGGTGATGAACTTCCCATTCCCTTGGCCTCTTGTGTCTCTGCTCCCAGGAAACAGGAGTTTCAAGAATAACTTCTCGGGCTTCCCTGGTGGCACAGTGGTTGAGAAACCGCCTGCCAACGCAGGGGACACGGGTTTGAGCCCTGGTCCGGGAAGATCCCACGTGCCACGGAGCAACTAAGCCCGTGCACCACAGTTACTGAGCCTGCGCTCTACAGCCCATGTGCCACAACTACTGAGCCCGCGTGCCACAACTACTGAGCCCACACACCTAGAGCCCATGCTCTGCAACAAGAGAAGCCACCACAATGAGAATCCCACGCACCGCAACGAAGAGCCGCCGCAGCTAGAGAAAGCTCACGTGCAGCAACGAAGACCCGATGCAGCCAAAAATAAATAAATTTAATAAATTTTAAAAAACAACGAAATATCAGATAGGGAATGTAAACAACAATCCCTTTTAAACTCACATCCCCCAAAACAAAATATTTAGGAATAAATCTGACTAAGGAGGTGAAAGACTTATACACTGAGGACTATAAAACATTAATAAAGGAAACTGAAGAGGATTCAAAGAAATGGAAAGATATCCCCCGCTCTTGGGTTGGAAGAATTAATAGTGTTAAAATGGCCACACTACCCAAAGCAATCTACAGATTTAATGTGATCCCCATCAAACTACCCATGACCTTTCTCACAGAACTAGAACAAATAATCCTAAAATTCTTATGGGACCATAAAAGACCCAGAATTGCCAAAGCAATCCTGAAGAAAAAGGACAAAGCAGGAGGCATAGCCCTCCCAGACTTCAGATGACACTACAAAGCTACAGGGATCAAAACAGTGCGGTACTGGCGCAAAAACAGACATATGGATCAATGGAACAGAACAGACAGCCCAGAAATAAACCCATACACCTATGGTCAATTAATCTTCAACAAAGGAGGCAAGAATATACAATGGGAAAAATACAGTCTCTTCAGCAAGTGGTGCTGGGAAAGTTGGACAGCTGCATGCAAATCAATGAAGTTAGAACACTCACACCACACACAAAAATAAACTCAAAATGGCTTAAAGACTTAAACATAAGACATGACACCATTAAACTGCTAGAAGAGATCATAGGCAAGACATTCTCTGACATAACTCGTACCAATGTTTTCTTAGGTCAGTCTCTCAAAGCAATAGAAATAAAAACAAAAATAAACAAATGAGACCTAATCAAACTTACAAGCTTTTGCACAGCAAAGGAAACCATACATAAAACGAAAAGACAACCTACAGAATGGGAGAAAGTATTTGGAAATGATGCAACCATCAAGGGCTTAATTTCTAAAGTATACAAACAGCTCATTCAAAAACAACAAAAAGACAACCCAATCAAAAATGGCCAGAAGACCTAAATAGACATTTCTCCGAAGAAGACATAAAGACGGCCAATAGGCACATGAAAAGATGCCCAATACTGCTAATTATTAGAGAAACGCAAATCAAAACTTCAGTGAGGTACCACCTCACATTGGTCAGAATGGACACCGTTAAAATGTCTTACAAATAACAAATGCTGGAGAGGATGTGGAGAAAAGAGAACCCTCCTACACTGTTGGTGGGAGTCACTATGGAGAACAGTATGGAGGTTCCTCAGAAAACTAAAAATAGAATTACCATACAATCAAGCAACCCCACTCCTGGGCATATATCCAGACAAAACTATAATTCAAGAAGATGCATGCATCCCTATGTTCATAGCAGCACTACTCACAATAGCCAAAACATGGAAACAACCTAAATACCCATCAAAGGATGAATGGATAAAGAAGATGTGGTACCTTGAGGACATGGGGAGGGGGAAGGGGAAGCTGGGATGAAGTAAGAGGGTAGCATTGACATATATACACCAGCAAATGTATAATAGCTAGCTAGTGGGAAGCAGCCGCATAGCACAGGGAGATCAGCTCGGTGCTTTGTGACCACCTAGAGGGGTGGGATAGAGAGGGTGGGAGGGAGGCTCAAGAGGGAGAGGATATGGGGCTATATGCATACATACAGCTGATTCACGTTGTTATACAGCAGAACCTAACACAACACTGTAAAGCAATTATACTCCAATAAAGATGTTAAAAAAAAAAAAAAAGATGCGGTACATATATACAATGGAATATTACTCAGCCATAAAAAAGAATGAAATGCCATTTTCAGCAACATGGATGCAACTAGAGATTATCACACTAAGTGAAGAAAGTCAGAAAGAGAATGACAAATGCCATATGGTATCACTTACATGTGGAATCTAAAATATGACACAAATGAACCTGTCTATGAAACAGAAACAGACTCACAGACACAGAGAACAGACTGGTGGTTGCCAAGGGGCAGATGGTTGGGGGAGGGATGGAGCGGGAGGTTGGGGTTAGCAGGTCTAAGCTATTATATATAGAGTGGATAACAACAAGGCCCTACTGTACAGCACAGGGAACTATAGTCAATATCCTATGATAAACCATAATGGAAAAGAAAATTTTTAAAAAGCAGGATGTCTACACAAATAACTGAATCACTTTAGTGTAAACATTGTAAATCAACTATTCTTCAATTTAAAAAATATTGATTAAAAAATCTCCTCCAAAATAAAACAAAAAGATAACTTCTTAAGTGGAATAAAGGTAGGACTTGAGACAGTATGTACACTGGATCCGTCTTTGTTAAAATTTTGTGCCCAGTTGTAAAACGCACAGGAAAATGTTAGCAATGGCTGTCTCTGCTCAGACATCATATGATTTTAATTTTTTCTCCCTTTGGCTAATCTACTTCTAAATTGTTTTGCAAAGTGAACACACACTGACATTTTTAACGGAAAAAATTAGTTAACTTAAGAGGCAGTGATGCCAGGCGTGGGACAGGGTTCAAGGAGGATCGGTGGCACCAAGGACGCTCACAGCAAAAGGCCCATGGGCCCTCACTGAAGGGCCCGTGACACCCGTCCTCCTCCCTTTTCCGGCCGGCTGATTCTATTTACCCTTCCAAACTTGTTTCCATGGCCCCTTCTCCAGGAAGTCCTCCTGGTACACCCACCCTGGCACCTCTGCTCCAGGGTAAGCCCACTGCCAGGCAGATGTTTACCAGAAATTTGGGCTCGGCAGCTCCGGGGCAGGCCCTGGAATCTGCATTGAGGCTGCACTCCAAGTGCATCCAACGCGGGTGGTTTAGAGCCCATGCTCTGACGGCATGGGTCTTTCCTTTGGTCCAAGTAAGAAAAGAGAACTTGAATCCCATTTTCTCACCCAGGACTAGTAGTTTAGAGGCAAATCAGTGATTTTCAGCCAGGGGCGATTTTGCACCTGCGGACAATGCCTGAAGAAATTTCTAGTTGTCACAGCTGGGAGGCTAGTCCTGGCGTCTAGTGGGTAGTAGAGGTCAGGGATGCTGCTAACAGCCCTCCAGTGCCCAGGACGGTCCCTGCAACAAGGAACAATCCGACCCAAGGCTAAGAAACCCGGGATAGCAATGAAAGATTAAAACTCGGAAGCCCCAAGCCCCCAAGGTCAGGAAGGCTCTTTGAGGAGGGCAGGCTGGAAACCGGAGAAAAAACTTTCCAGTCACACAAAACTGGGTTCTGATTCTGGCGCTGCCTCTCACTACAAGCAAGTCCAGGCCTACTTTGCTCATGGAAAGTGGGGAGGGTTGTACTTGTCTGGAAGCCGCGATCAGCAGCCGTAACAGCACCTCATTCCACCCATTCTCTGGAGCACGTCGACTTTACCTTCTAATATCTCTGAAAACTGGGATGTATCTTACAAGAATGCCGCTGCATATTTTAAGTGGCAGCATTTTATTATAGTTTTAAAATTCCCTCTACACAATGCAATCCTCCTTATTGCGGGGGGAGGGGGGCGCACTCCCACCACCCTGCCCCCAGGCATCTGGCCACACGAAGTAGGTGCCCAAGGTCACCATTAGCTCAGGATGGAGACAGGGTTCAATTCAGCTGCGTGACTTCAACCTAGGCCTCTCTCCTTTGACGGGAGTTCGAAAGGAGACTTTCTGGCACTGATATAATCTTTACACGAGGAAGAGTCCGAAGGGCCTAATGGAAACAGGGCTGTGGGACTTTTGAGTTTTCTGTTTCGTTTCTCGATAGCCTCTAATTTTTTTGTTCAGGGAGCACACCAGACTCATCCTGGGTCACAGGCCGGTGGTGAGTGCCCGCCTCAGCACTGCCCAGAGTGGTGGCTGATGGGCGGTACACAGACTTGGGGCACCCTTCCCATCACCACACATGCCCTGGAGGGAGGGGGGTGTCACTGCGCTGACAGAAACCAGCGTGGGCCCCAGGAAAACCAGATGCACCAAATGAGGAGACGCTGGCTGGCTTTTCTGCTGTTACCACTGAGAAGCCACACGCCTCCGGAAACATTTCAAATCAAACATGAATGCCATGAACTTACCAAAAGATCCTGCATCTTCCAGAAACCCGGAAGGTTTTAATCGATAATGCTTGGCTTTTTTCGAAACCTTGTCCTTGGTGTTCCAGAGCCTCAAGGTGATTTTGTGAAAATTTATTTTCTTTAGTAACTCCTTTGTCATGTTGATGTTAAAACTTTGGGTCCACGACACCCAGACCTTGTCCCCTTCTTGCCATGGCCTGACGGTCTGTGTAAAAGGACAAGAGACTCTCTCAGCGTTGAAAGCTCAGAGGCCAAGATCTGACTGCTGCCACGATGTGGCAGGCCCTGCCTTCCACTTGTCTGTCTGTGCATCCCACTCCCTCCTGGCTCCCAACTCACATAGGGAATCGGGAAATGGGTGCCACAGACAGGGGCCTGCACGCCTCTGGGTTGCTCGGAAAAATAAAGTAAAAGCAATCCCCTGCAAAGAGTGTCCCTCCCCAGGACTCCCCATCCTAACCCAGAGCCCTGCCCCAGGCGGGAGTGTGCGTGTGTGTGAGGGTGGCAGGTGTGCACACACACGTACTCACGTGTACACACAGAAAGAAATAACAAGAGCTGCCAAAACTTTTGAAACACCAAAGAAATTATTAGGTAAAAATACCTTCATAGAAAATCACAGAGTTGCTATCAATATTATTAGGGTCGTGCAGATTCCCATTCAGTAGGCCTAGAGTGGCAACCAAGATCCTACATTTCTAGCAAGTTCCAGGGGAAGCCAGCATCCTTTGTGTCTCTTGCTATTTCTTGTGGCTATCAGACTATATGCAAGGCCACACACACACACACACACACACACACACACACACACACACACACACACATTCACCTTTATTCCTGAATCCAGGAACACTTTGGCCAAGGCTGGAAACACCACCACATCGACCTTTTTAGGCTCCCCATCATCAGGCAGGAGGAAGTACTCAATGTGGTAGTAATGGCGAACCTTTGCAATAGGTTTGTCCATTTTAGGGTGTCTCCTATATTTTTCAACCAAACTTGAACACTTTCCTTTATGACCTAGAAGATACAGATGTAATCAGAGTTGTTCTAACCTCACTTGGGAAAGCAGACCCGTCTCCACGATTCCCCGGAACCAAGAAGAGCCCAAGGCTGGAGGAGGTGCCGTGTGCAGACTCCCCACTGCCGCCCGCTTGGAGTTAAGACGCATGTCCAGTCCTCCCAGCCACCAGAGGAGCAGTCCCAGGGCTGGAAGCCAGTGTGCAGAATTATAGCGCGTGACTCGGAGGTGAGCATCTCCTTAAATTTTTTTACTGTAGGCACTTACCTGCCTGCCCCTAGTCTCGACAGTAAGAGGCAGGTTAAAAAAAAACCAAAAAAACCCCACCAATACAGTGTAGGATAAATTAGACACGTACGATGGAATACTATATAGGCGTTTAAAACAAATGACAACGAAGTAAAACCAGGTCTGCTCATATCCTTTAAGATATCTAAGAGGTGCCATCAAATTTTTAAAGAGCAAGTTGTAGAACAGGATACATAGGATCTCATTTCTCTTAAGTAAACAACTTACATAAACATTCATAAATAAATTCATAACTATTTAGGTACTGAAGGAAAAAACACTGAAGCTAGAATTTTATATCCAGCCAAAGACAGATCCTTCGAAGGTACTGGCACCATAAAAACAATCTCAGGCAAGGTCTCATAAGTTGAGCTGCACAGCAATCTATTTTGTAAACGCCTTTGGAATAAGTGCCAAACTAAGAAAAACAAATCTAGGAGATGCTGCAAGAGATGTGAGGGTTAAAGGTAATCAAATAAGCACCAGTTTTCTTTTGGGTGGTATTTGCAGATGTCTTTTTCCAGGCTCTTTTGCTTGATATCAACAGACCAAAGACTAAAAGCACCATTACGGATAGAGGAGGTCACACACAATGACCAAAAATTTAATTCACCAAGAAGATAGGTCAATTCTAAAACATGGTATACACCTAACCAAATAGCCTCCAAAATATATGAAGCAACCATCAACAGAACTACAAGGAAAAGTTGAAATTAATCATCATGGGGAGATACTTCAGGCAGAACAACAAAAAAAGACATATAAAAAAATGGAGTACTCCTTGATATATCTAGGAATACACCTACCTAAGGAGGCAAAAGACCGGTACTCCAAAAACTATAAGACACTGATGAAAGAAATCAAAGATGACACAAACAGACGGAAAGATATACCACATGTTCTTGGATTGGAAGAATCAATATTGTTAAAATGACCATAATACCTAAGGCAATCTACAGATTCAACACAATCCCTATCAAACTGTCAATGGCATTTTTCACAGAACTAGAACAAAAATTTTTTTAATTTGTATGGAAACACAAAAGACCCTGAAATCTTGAGAAAGAACGGAGCTGGAGGAATCATGCTCCCTGACTTCAGACGATACAACAAAGCTACAGTGATCAAAACAGTATGGTAGGGCTTCCCTAGTGGCGCAGTGGTTGAGAGTCCTTCTGCCAATGCAGGGGACATGGGTTTGTGCCCCAGTCCGGCAAGATCCCACGTGCCGCGGAGCAGCTGGGCCCGTGAGCCATGGCCGCTGAGCCTGTGCGTCCGGAGCCTGTGCTCCACAACGGGAGAGGCCACAACAGTGAGAGGCCCGTGTACCGCAAAAAAAAAAAAAAACAGTATGGTACTGGCACAAAAACAGACACAGTGATTAACGGAACAGGATAACAGCCCAGAAACAAACCCACACATTTATGGTCAATTAATCTATGACAAAGGAGGCAAGAATATACATTGGAGATAAGACAGTCTCTTCAATAAGTGGTAAGTGGTGCTGGAAAAACTGGACAGCTATGTGTAAAAGAATGAAATTAGAACATTCTCTAACACCATACACAAAAACAAACTCAAAGTGGATTAAAGAGCTACACGTAAGACAGGATACTATAAAACTCCTAGAGGAAAACATAGGCAGGACACTCTTTGACATAAATCGCAGCAGTATTTTTTTGGATCCGTCTTCTAGAGTGATGGAAATAAAAACAAAAATAAACAAATGGGACCTAATTCAACTTAAAAGCTTTACACAGCAAATGAAACCATAAACAAAATCAAAAGGTAACCTAAGGTCTGGGAGCAAATATTTGCAAATGATGCTACCAACAAGGGATTAATTTCCAAAATTTACAAACAGCGCATGCAGCTCAATATCAAAAAAACAAACAACGCAATGAAAAAATGGGCAGAAGACATAAGTAGACATTTCTCCAAGAAGACATATAGTTGGCCAACAAGCACAGGAAAAGATGCTCAATGCCACTCATTATTAGAGAAATGAAAAATCGAAACTACAATGAGGCATCACCTCACACCAGTCAGAATGGCCATCGTTAAAAATCCACAAACAGTAAATGCTGGAGAGGGTGTGGAGAAAAAGGAACCCTCCTACACTGTTGGTGGGAACGTAAATTGGTGCAGGCACTGTGGAGAACAGTATGGAGGTTCATTAAAAAACTAAAAGTAGAGTTACCATATGATCCTGCAATCCGACTCCTGGGCACAGATCTTGAGAAAACTCTAATTCAAAAAGATACATGCACCTCAGTGTTCATAGCAGCACTGTATACAGTAGCCAAGACATGGAAGCAACCTAAATGTCCATCGACAGAAGAATGGTTAAAGAAGATGTGGTATATATACACAGTGGAATATTACTCAGCCATGAAAAGAATGAAATAATGCCATTTGCAGAAACATGGATGGACCTAGAGATTATCATACTAAGTGAAGTAAGTCAGACAAAAACAAATATTATATGATATCACTTAGATGCAGAACCTAAAAAATGAAACAAATGAACTTATTTACAAAACAGAAATAGACTCACAGACATAGAAAACAAACTTATGGTTACCAAAAGGGATAGTAGGGGAGGGGAGATAAATTAGGATGTTGGGATTAACAATATACACACCACTATATATAAAATAGATAAACAACAAAGACCTACTGTATAGCAACAGGGAACTATACTCCATATCTTGTAATAACCTACAATGGAAAAGAATCTGAAAAAGAACATATATGACTGAATCACTTTGCTGTACACTTGAAACTAAGACAACATTGTAAATTAACTATATTTCAATTAAAAAGCTGATATAAAAAAAGGTAGTCCACCTTAAAAAAAGTGGAGTACTTTTCTCTGCCCTTAATCTTGGGGTTCAACCATGTGCCTTGCTTTGGCCAATAAAATGCCTGCAGGTGGGAGGTGTCCAAAGATCTGAAGAGGGCTGGGGTGACTGGGCTTGCCCTCTTTTGTGCCCTGTCTTTCCATGACAGGAATGCGTCTGGGTTGCCCACACATCCGAGAGGAGGATGAGAGAGACAGAACCAGGGCAGAGCTACTGCAGGAAGCCCAGCCTAGATCAGCTGGCCCGCTCACCCAGGACAGGGATTTCTGTTTGAAGCCAATGAAATGGGGAGTTGTTTGCATTTGTTACACAGCGGTTTGGGGCGGTAGCTGATTACCTTTGCACTCAGAGATTTTGATCCAATAATCTGAGAGTCTGTATTTAAACAAGGAATTAGCTGATGCACAACCAGCTTCTGGGGGGAAAAAATGCCTTAACCTCTCCGTCATTTCTTTATTTTCAAAAAGCAGAAGTAACATCACCTGCTTCTTGGGGTTTTGAGAGGACTGAGTCTGTGAAGCCCATAAACTGTTCCTTGCCTGGACCACAGTGGGCCCTAAAGTGGCAGTTTCTTTCCGGACCTCTGCTCCTGTCACTGGCCACCTTACTTAGGGAGCCCGCAGAGGGAGCACAGGCGCCCTACACTCCTGGAAGGTCACTGGTACACTCCCTCTCTGCCGTCACACTTACCCGCGGTCACTGGGAAGGCCAGAGAGATGATGAACTTGCAGGGGACGACGTGGGGCACGTCTGAGTCGAAGGTGCTCGCAGGCCCCTCTGAGGACTCGCCGCTGCCCTGGTGGCCGGTGGCCGACCCCTGCGCCCAGGCCCCAATATTCAGGTCCTCCTCCACTTCACACTCGCTCACGGGCTGGTAAAAGCTGCCCATGGAGGGCACGGCCCCCATGCTCGCCTGGCCCTCGTCCTCCCACTCACAGGCCGGCAGCCACACGCGGCGGGGTTGACACTCCCGGCTGCAAGGAAATAAAGGCACTGCCGTCACCACCACTGCTCCCAGGAGGGCAGCCCTGCCTGCCCCCTCCTCCCCCCGTGCCGTGTTCTGTTCCGGGCTGACCAGCCAAGGCCTCAGACACTGCCTGGCACACAGCGGACACTCAACAAAGATTAGACGAAACTCAGAGAATGGTGCCGTCAGTAATCGTGATAATCAGCAAAGCCAGGGTCTCCAAATTGAGGCCCGTCCTCCCGGCCCCAGCTGTTCCTCCTTTCACGATCAAAGTGAATCATTCAGCACGTCTGGAATGCCTGCTCAAGGTGAGTGCAATTCCCCAGGAACCACAAGGGAGGGGGTGGGGGGTGAGGGCCTCGGGTTAGCTGTGCCAAAGCACAATATGACCTTGGTTTGGGGACAGCACGCGCAAGAGCCTGGTGAGGTCAAGGAGGGCGAGGACCCCGAGGCAAGACCCGGCCGAGCACTGAGTACACAAGCGCCCTCCATGGACGCCGCACGCCAGCAAACGCTAAGAAGGGGCTGCGCAGCTGGAGCGGGGGCCGGGGCGGACGGGGGCGGGGGGGGGTACCTGCGGCACCCGTGAGCGGACGCGCTGGGCAGCCGCGTGGGCTCAGACGACGGCGTCGGTCAGCTCACACAGCAGCTGCACAGCCTCCACACCAAGGAGGCTCAGAGGACCTGGTGTGTCCACCCGGGCAGGGAGGCCCGCCGGAGCCGCCTCGCCTCTATGTTTGGCGGTTGCTAGGAGACGCGCGTGGCCACAGCCCCGGGGCGGGGCTCCTCTCCTGGGGGCGGGGCTCCCTCCCCGCCTCAGCCGCTGGTCCCAGGCCAGGTGCCCCGACAAGGTCCGGCAGAGGGTTGTATACAAACGCAGAACCAGCTGCCTTTGTGCCTCCAGTTATTCGCTTATCCACTCAGTCTTTTTTTTTTCTTTTTTTTTTTGGATGTGGACCATTTTTTAAGTCTTTAATGAATGTTTTACAATACTGCTTTTTATGTTTTGGTTTTTTTGGCCGTGAGGCATGTGCCATCATAGCTCCCCGACCAGGGATCGAACCCACACCCCCTGCACTGGAAGGCGAAGTCTTAACCACCGGACCGCCAGGTAAGTCCCCATTCAGTCTTTAAGGAATTTCTGCTCTGAACGTGAGCACCTATTATGCGCCTGAGCCTTACCTGCAGTACAGGGGAGAGGCATTGCCAGCTCCCCACTACAGCTCCGTCAGCGGCCCCCTCCCGTTCTTTGATGAAGGCAAACGAAGCAGCGGGCTCTGCAAACTCAGATGACCCGACCCCACCCCACCCCCCATCCCTCTCTGGCACAGACTCTCTGCTTCTGTCACTGATGTCCTTCAAATATCATGAGAATTCTTTTTAGTCATCATGAGCCCCAAACTCAGCGATGAGGAAACCGAGGCTTAGAGAGGTGAAGCGATTTGCCTGAGGTCACACAGGTATATGGCAGTGCTGGATTGAAAGCCAGACTATCTGACGGACACCCTGCCCCCCACCCCCAGATGAGAGACCCCTAGCTGCTGCTCCCGACGTACAAGACCACAGACCACCAAAGGGGCTGCGGCGGAGGGACACATCGCAGAAGCGACTGCCCGGAGGGGTCGGGGAAGGCTTCACGGAAGAGGTGACAAAAGCCAAACTGTGGGGTTTGCCAGGAGAGGAAAGCAAGAGAAGGCATTCCAGGCAGAGGACACAGCATATGCAAAGGCCAAGCGGAGGGAAAACGTGTGGCAAGTTCAGGGAAGGGATGATCAGGCTGGAGTGGCGCGCGGGGGCCCCGGTACCAAGCCCCTGGGCAGTAGTTTGTTCAAGCGAATGGGCGCGGAATCTCCACACACACTTCGCTGTTGCAGAAACTGAGGCTCTGAGCTGAGACACGACCTACCCGTGGCCAAAGAGCAAAACTGTGGACGCAAGCCCCCTGCCTCCCAGTGCCCACCTCCCTAGGCCGTCCCCAGGGGCTGGGGACAGTAGTCCAGTATTCCAGAATGCTTCCCACTCACGGGGGCCCTCCGACACTCCTCAGGTTCGATCAGTCTAAAAAACTGAAACTTAAGAACAGCTGTGAGGGGAAATCTCCAAATGGCAGTGAGGTCCCCTGGGGACAAGGACTCAAGTTTCACCACTGAGTGCCATGACACCCTGTCCAGCAGCCTGCAGACTACCGTCCATAAGCAAGGAAATACTAAGAAGACACCCCCAGGGTTGCCAGGGGAAAAGGCCGCTAGGGTACACCAGCTCCCAAAAGGCCCCATTAACAAGAGCCTGTCAGTGACCCCACCCTCCCTGGGACAGACAGCAGGCCTCCTGCCCATCAGGTGCCACCTGCTGCCTGAGGCTGGTTTTGCTCCAAAGGGTCCTCGATCACCCTGTTACCAAGGGCAGCAGCCAATCTCCCCAGCATCTCCTGTGGGGCGGCCCTGAACTCAGGCTTGAGAGGTCTTAGACCAAAGAGCCTTGGTCCTGGATGTGCATGAGAATCACCCAGGATCATGTCAAATCTTCAATCCTGAGGCTTCACTCCAGACCTGTGGAATTGATTCTCCAGAGGTGGGGCTTAGGAACCGGTGATAGATTGTATTTTCCAAACACCTCAATAGATTCCCTCCCACCCTCTCTTCTTACGGTGTGATGTCAACACTCTTCACATCCCGTGGTGGGTCTAGTCCCCTCCCCCTTGCACCCAGACAGAACTTTTGGACCACCTCAGCCAACAGAGTAGGGTGGAAGTGACACTCGGTGACATCTGAAGCCAGCAGCTCACACAAGTTCCATGTGCTTCTGCCTTGTTCTTTGGGGCGCTCACTCTAGGAACCCAGCACCATGTTGTGAGGAGGCCCAAGCAGCCTCATGGAAAGGCCGCGGGTAGATGCTCTGGCCAACAGCCGGCAGGGTTCCCGGCCAACGGCCAGCCTCACTGCCCAAAATGTGAGAGCCAGACCTCAGGTGATTCCAGCCCCCAGCCTTTGAGTCACCTGGCTGACACCATGTGTAGCAGAAACCAGCTGTCCCCATCAAGCCCTCTGCAAATTGCAGATTTATCAGCAAAGTAAGTTACTGTTGTCCTAACCCTCTAAATTTGGGGATTATTTGTTGTGCAATAATAAATAACTGGAACAGAACGCTTGTTTGTTAAAGTCACCTCCACCAAGATCCCATTGCATAGCCAAGATTTGGAACCACTTTCCTGAGGGTGGTAGTGTCCAGGTCAAGAGCCGGGGCATCATGGGATGGAATGAAGGCAAAGGTGTGCCACCTGAGACTCAGGCACGAGGGGCGGGCCTACGACCTCCCCTCAGCAAAGACGGCTTCAGGGCTGGCAAAGTCACATTGCAAAGGGGCACCCCGTGGAGTGCAGCAATCTGAGGGCAATCTGTCCCTGCTTCATTCTTCCTACAGGGCAGTGGAGCGCCGAAGCTCCCACGGCACCCAGAGAGCTTTCTGAAGTTATTGCTAGACTCTGGCAGCTGGAAGCATACACCCATCTTCTTGCCATCCGTCTCCTAAGCAAAGCGCCCCCCCCCCACCTTTTAACAACTTTACTGAGGTGTATTTTATATCATGTGGTGCACCCATTTCAAGTGTATAATTCAATGATTTTTAGTAACTTCACCAAGTGGTGAAATCATCACCATAAATAAGTTTTAGAACATTTTCATCTCCCTAATAAGATCCTTCGTGCACAAGTCTCACCCAAAAGTACTATAATTAATTAAAATTAATCTCTGTTCCCACCCCAAGCTCTAGACAACCATTAATCTACTTTCTGTCTCTAAAAAGGTGCCTTTTTCTGAACATTTCCTATAAATGGAGCCATAAATCCATTTTGTCTATCCAGCCATCAGTTCATGGACATTAAGGTTGGACATTTAGACATTTACGAAGAATGCTGCTGAGGACATTCACGTGAGGGTCTCTGTGTGGACAGATGTTTTCGTTTCTCTTGAGTAGAGGCATCTAGCAGTGGGAGAGCTGGGTCACGTAGTATGCTACACGTATGGATCAGGCTTTATGCTTATCTTTTACTGCCAAACTGTTCTGCAGTGGCTGCACCATTTCACATTCCCACCAGCAACGTGTGAGGGTTCCTATTTCTCTACATCCTCGAAAACATTTATTGTCCGTCAGTTATTATCGCCATTCTCGTGAGGGCGAAATAGTCTCTCATTGAGGTTCTGCTTTTTATTTCCCTAATGCCTAACGGCACTGGGATCCTTTCTCGTGCTTATTGGCCATCCATATATATTCTTTTGGGAAATGTCTGTCCCCGTCTTTCACCCATTTTTCAATTGGGTTATTTGTCTTCTTATTGAGCTGTTGGAGTTCTTTGTCAATTCTGAATACAAGGCCCGTACTGGGCATGTGTTTTGTCAAGATTTTCTCCCAGTTGCCTGCTTGTCCCGTCACTTCTTAATGGTGTCTTTACCACTGCGCTTTGAAGTGCAAAAGTTCTGAATTTTGATGAGATCCAATGTATTGATTTTTTTCTTTTTTTGGACCATGTGTTTGGTGTTGTATCTAAGAAATCTTGGCCTAACCCAGGCCCATTTTTAATAGAGAGAAGTCAAACTTGGCATCTGAACACTAAGCAAACGTAAAAGCTTTGACACTAAAAATGATGGCTCTCGGAGAATCCCGGACACTCCAGGGGACTGTACAGAATGACACAAACTTTCTGAAAAAGTTTGACAATATCAAGACCTTATAAAATGTCCACACTCCTTGGCCCTGCAGTAAAGCACCCAGGAAATAGAGCCAGCCGTTCACAGTGTTATTTGAATGGAGAAAAACTGCAAACCACCTCTATGTGCACCTATTGGGACGACAAAGCACCTCCCGGGTCAGTCCTAAGAGGGAGTGTGGACCAGCCTTTGAGAATAACGTTAGCCAGGAATGGTAATGATGGCGGAGCCATTTAGGAAGATGGGTGACGTGCAGAGACAGATCCCAACAGCAGCATTTCAACTTGTTTCTTTGTGTCACATTGAAGGAGGTACAACCGACATCCTGTAAAATTCACCCTTTTAAGTGCTTTGACAGGTGTATACAGTCATGAAACTACCACCCCAATGAAGATATAGAATGTTTTCACCACCCCCAAAAGTTCTTTCATGCTTAAATGCATGGAAAACTGAAAACAAATACATCGAAAGAACCCTGTGTTCTTCTCTTGTTGGCACAAGGGGGGATGGTTTTTTTGCTCTTCAGCATTTTGCTGGGCTGTTTCTAGACACTGTGAACAATATACTATTTGGAATGGCTCAAACAATACTGAGCCGACTTCAGAAAAATCACTTCTCTCGGCTCCCCCAGTCGCACACACCCATCCCCCAGCTCACACAAAAGCGCAGGAGACCCCTGAGTTTGCTCAATTTGAGCCTTAAACAAAAACCTTGTGGGTCCAACCGGGATGATTTCAGAGGCGCCTGGTAACACTGCCCGCAGACAGACGGGCCTGACAGCGGCCCATTATCAACCCAGACTCCCCTGCCCCCAAGGAGCTGCGGGGGGCAGAGGCCAGGCGATGGCCCCACGTCAAGATATTTAAAGTCTTTCTTTTCAATACTGACTGGCCCAGAAAAGTTCCTGTTCAAAGGATTCCTTCCGCAAAAGCCGTCGCCAGCTGCAGCAACGGGGGTAGTCCTCCCTGGGTCACCAGCTCTCAGCATTAACATGAAATTGAATCAGATTCATCTGCAGAGCCACAAGAGGGAGGGGATATGGGGATATACGTATATACTCGCTGCTTCACTTTGCTGTACAGCAGAAACTAACACAGCATTGTAAAGCATTTGGACTCCCATAAAGATGTGGGGGAAAAAAAAGTCGAGTCCAGTTCCAACGTCCTGTTTTGTTTTTTTCTTTTTCTTTGTAATTTGGCTGCACTGGGTCTTAGTTGCGGCACGCGGGATCTTCGTTGGCGTATGTGGGATCTTCAGTTGCGGCAGGCATGTGGGCTCTAGTTCCCTGACCAGGGATCGGACCTGGGACCCCTGCACTGGGAGTGCAGAGTCTTAGCCACTGGACCACCAGGGAAGTCCCCAGAGTCCTGTTCTAAGTGCAGACAGCAACGCCCCCGGTGGAGAGACTCCCGGCCTAGAAGTTTCTACGGTCCAGCTGGGAGTCCAATCAACCTGACATCTGGAGTCTCGCTGACTCCAGCATCTCTGGGCCCAAGGATGCTTGAATCCCAGGGATGCCAGCTACATGTAGTTTTCCTTCTGATGCAGTGTGTCCACATCTACAAAATGACATAATTAGTGCCTACTTAATGGCAGGCCCTGTGCTGGGCATGGGGGTACGAGGTCTCTGGCCTTGTGAAGCTCAGCCCTCGTGGCAGGGCTGTAAATAAGTGGCAGTGTGGTACAATGCTGTTTCTTAAAATACAAGTTAAAAAGTACGTCTCACCTGTAGGCAATGAAAGCGCATGGAGAGCCTCATGCCACACTGTGCCCGGCAGCAGCTGCGGGCAGGCAGCTCAGAAGGGGGCTGGAGCTCTTCTCTCAGTGTGCCCGACACCAAGGCCGGCGGACAGACAGGCAAGCGTCCCTCCCCTCACGGCTGATAGTGCGTTACAGGGAGACAGACAGACGCACCAGGCAAGAGAGTCTGTTAGGGGCGCAAAGGGCTTGCAATGTCACCGAAGGCCTCACTGCGGGGCTGACGCTGGAGCAAGGGACTTGGAGGTGAGGGGGCGGGCTGTAAACATCTGGAGAATTGAGAAATACATGAATTACACTGCTGGTAGGAATGAAAATAGTGCAACCACTTTGGAAAATGGCCTGGCAGGCCCTCGAAAGTTAAACATAAAACTACCACACAACCCAGCAATCTCACCCCTGGGTATATACTCAAGAAAAGTGAAAATATATGAACACACAAAAACTTCGACATGAATGTTTACAGCAGCATTATTCATAACAGCCAAAAAGCGGAAACAATCCAAGCGTCCATCGACAGATGAACGGATAAACAAAAGGTGGTCCATCCATACAATGGACTATTACTCAACAATAAAAAGGAATGAACCGCATGCCAGCTACAACCTGGTTGAAGCTGGAAAACATTATTGTTAATGTTCTCAAAAAGGAGCCAGTCACAAAAGGTTACATATTGTATAATTCTGTTTGATACACAATGTCCAAGATAGTCAAATCCATAGAAACAGAAAACAGTGGTTTCCTAGGGCTGGGAGTTGAGAGTGGAGGGTAAGAAACTGGAGCAGTGCGTGGGCTACCTAGTACAAGGTTTTTTTGGGGGGTGGGGGTGGTGAGTGATGAGAATGTTCTAAAAATGAAATTGTGATGCTGGTTATATGCTCTATAAATATACCAGAAACCACTTATTAATATACCTTAAATGGGTGAACTTTGCGGTCTGTAAATGGCAAATAAAGTATGTCTTCCCCCCAAAAAAAGAAAAAGAGAAAACAAACAAACAAAAACATCTCCTTTGTCAAAAAGAGAGATGTTACACTGAAAGCCAAACTCCTCCAACCCCTGGAAATAACCACTGAATCCGTTTGTGAATCCCTCCATCTTTTTCTATGCGCTTACATACACATGTATGTATGTAAGCGCATGTAAGCGCTCACAGAAAATATTTAGCACCGTTTTGCGTGGGTTTATTGTTACTGTCGCTTTTTTCACTCATCCTTTTGTGGTGATTCATCCCGGCTGCTGTACCAATGGGCAAAATGTTGTCTCCAGTTTCTCACTATTATAAACAACAATGCAATGAACATCCTGTACATGTGTTTTTTCTAAGGCAGAAGCCAAGAATTGGAGTTGATGTAAATATTTTTTGTCAAATTGCTACCACTTTAATAATTTTCTTTTTAAATGCACATCCAAAATGGTTGGGGAGAAGCATCTAACTCCTTCCTGGCAGAGGTGTGTGGTGGGCAAAGTCTTCAAGAATGAGTAGAAATTTGCCAAATGGACAAAGTGCTTATTCTGGGGTACTGCAGCAGAGGAGATAGAATTTTAGTGCTTTTTCAGATTCCAGGATTTAACGTTTAAATTCCTAGAGCTGTACACAGGCCAGATTCTGCCCATCGTATAGCCAAGGGAAGTTGAAGAAATCTGCCTCTTGCTCCTGCGAGGCTGGATGAGGGTTCCCAGTGCAGGTATCAGGTTAGGACATCTCTACACCTCTCTTGTAAAAAAAAAAAAAAAAAAAAGGAAAAGCAGCCTTACATTCACCTGAGAGGCTGATTTTTCTTTCATCTTCCAGAAAGGTGTTCTAAGGCACCAGGGGAAATGTTGGCCAAACTGCCTAGCTACCTGGTAGCCTAACCCCAGCTCAGAGATGGAATTCCGGTCACAGGGCCAATCCACTCCCCAGGCACAAACAGGTGAGAAGACGGAAGGCCACAGCTTTCCTACACCCCCTGCCCTCCCGGCTTCAACACACACAGAGCTTAGAGAGCAAGGGTCTGGCTCAGATCGGTTTCTATCCAGCGGGATGGCCCTAACGCATCCCCTGACTTCTCGGAGCTGGGTTTTCCTCTGCTCTAGTTACCACGTGAGGCCCTTTGCACCAGCCCTGGTGGAGGGAGAAGCGGGTTTAGGAGCCCAGTCGCCGAATTTAAGGGGAGGGGGGCTTCTCCGTACTTACGGGAGTAGAGTACAGCCCCAGCTAGCTTGCGGGGCTACCCTTGAAAGGTTTTCTGGCGAGGAGGGGTGGAGTGACGCGTGGGCGCGGACCAGACCAGGGGGCCACCGGACCAGGGGGGCCACCCTCCAGCCCCTCCCCAGCTTCCTATCCCGAGCCCACCCCTTGTCCCCGTCTCGGGGCACACTCTCTGCACAACGCAGCTGGGTGGAGAGTGGGGGAGTTGAAAGCAGACAGACCCGCGAATGGCAGGTAAAGAGGGGATGCCAGGGACGCCCCGGGAGTGATGAGGGAGGAATAGTGCAGGGGTCACCGAGAGAAGCGAGATCAGGAGGGAGACCAGGCAGTGGTGGCCCCGCGGGGGTCTCGGGGCTCATGGGTCCGCTAACCAAGCCCCCTCAAAGCCAACCCGGGTAAACACAGACGCCCTGCCAGGCCAGCGCAGCCCTCGGCGCCGCTCCAACCAGACCGCCACCGCTAAGCCCCTCCTTTCAAGAAACTCTGGGGCCGCCCCTGGAAGTGGCGGGGCGGAGGCACCCGAGGAGCGGCGCTTGGCGGCGATGGAGCCCAGCGGCCCGGGCACGGGGACCGGCGTGGAAGGAGCGGCGGGCGACCCGTACCAGCGACCAGCGCGGCGCACGCAGTGGCTGCTGAGCGCCCTGGCGCACCACTACGGGCTGGACCCGAGGCGTGGAGAACGAGATCGTGGTGCTGGCCACGGGCCTGGACCAGTATCTGCAGGAGGTCTTCCACCACCTGGACTGCCGAGGCGCCGGCCGCCTGCCCCGCGCCGACTTCCGCGCGCTCTGCGCGGTGCTGGGGCTGCGCGCCGAGGAGGCTGCCGCCACCTGGGAGGCTGCCGGGCATACAGCCGCGGGAGACACGAACTCCGGGGATGTGATCGCTGGGCTGGCCACCGATGGGGACGCGGATGCGGAGGAGGAGGCGCGCCTGGCACTGCGCACCGAGCCGCCTGAGCTCACCTTCCGCCAGTTCCACGCGCGCCTCTGCGGCTACTTCGGCACCCGCGCCGGGCCCCGTCTGCCCCGCGGCGCTCTCAGCGAGCACATGGAGACGCAGATCCGCCTGCGCCGTCCGCGCCGCCGCCGCCGAGCGCCCCGTACGCCCGGCCCCGACGGCGGCCCGGACAGCGAACGCCTGGCGCGCTTGGAGGAAGAAAACAGCAGCCTGCGCGAGCTGGTGGAGGACCTGCGGGCCGCGCTGCAGAGCAGTGACGCGCGCTGCCTAGCACTGCAGGTGCACCTGGTCCCGGGGCGGAGGGTGATGACGGAATAAAAGCATAAAACTCCTAGAAGAAAACATCAGGAGTATGCTCTCTGACATTGGTCTTAGAGATATTTGGTGGGGGGGGGGGGCCGGGGGTGTGTGAAGGGCAGCCCTCCCCACTTCAGCCTACTTGCATCCTGTCCCTAGCCACCCCATTCCACTCCAACACACTCTAGTCCCCTCCCCTAGTCACATCACACATTCCAGCCCCCCAAAACTCCAGTCCCTCCGAGAAAACCATTCCGCCACCACACACACACAGCCCATCTCATCCTGCCTCTCTGACCCAGCCGTGGACCCTCGCAGGAAACCTGGTCAGTCTCACACACATACGCCTCCGGAGCTCTCCGCGGTGCCAGGATTCCAGGAGGCCTAGGAGATAAGTTGTGAGGAAGGCCGGTCCGCACCCTTAAGGAGCTATCGAGGTACACAGGCGGCTCGGCGCAGTCACTCAACGAACATTGGAGGGCCTCCCTCAGGGCCAGGCCTGGTGTCCCAATGCTAGATAGTGTCGCTGTCGACCAGGCAGGTCTGGCCACTCAGCGCTGCGGGGGCCAGGCACTGAGAGAGGCATGGACCCAGCCCAGGCACCTGCAATTCAGTCAACAAGCACCTGAGCGCCGTGCCCAGCCGTGTGTCCAAGGCCATGCGGGGGTGGGGGTCAGACGAGGACCAGACGGCCTCTGACCCAAGGGACCACAGGCCAGGAGGGAGCTGACGTTCTAGTAGCCCTGCCCGCGCCCCACACAGCCCGGGGTCACAGCCCTGAGGGGTAGAGAGAGGCCAGGGAGTGCGCAGGGGTGCAAGGCGCGGATTTCAGGGGCCACGGCCAGCGGGCATCGGAGAAGCCAAGTCCGGGGCGGGAAAGTACTGCCATTATGTGGAGTAAGATCGTCCAGGATCATTAGTCCCCCAAGTATTTGCTGAGCACCTACTGTGTGCCAGGCCTGTTTTAGGCGCCGGACGCCCAGCAGTGAACACGACAGAAGAAAACCGCACCCTCAAGGAGGCGGCTGCCTAGCAGCAGACAGCGAGGAGGGCCGGGGACGCCCATAGAGGGCTCCCCAGTCTAGGGCGTGGAGGGGCACGGGGGAGCGGCGTGCCCTGAGGGCCGGAGGTGGGCAGAGAAGAGTGCAGGCGTTTGGGACTCACTGGAACTGTGCAAACAACAGAATATGGGCTTTGTGCCTCAGTGGCCCGCATCCATTAAGAAGGAGTGACATGAGCTCCCGCCTCGGTAGAGTTAGGGCGAGGGTTAAATGAGTTCAGATGGGCCCAGGGCGGCGAGCACGAGCGCGAGAAACGTGCCGGGCTGCTTTGCTCACGCGCCCTGGGCCGGGTGGGGTCTGGCGCGAGGCGCTCACCGCCTGCCCTGCTGCCCTGTTCCGGCAGGTCGGCCTCTGGAAGAGCCAGGCGGGCGCCCGGGAGGCGGCGCTCGGCGGGCCCGAGGCGGCGGCGGCGCGGGAGCTGCGGCAGGCGCGGGGCGCGCTGTCGGCAGCCGAGGCCCGCGCGGGGCGCCTGCGCCGGGGCCCGGCCGAGGTGCGGCGGCGCGCGGAGGAGGCCCGGCAGGCAGTGCTGCGCAGCCTGGCGCGCGTGCGCGAGCTCGAGGCGCTGGCGCGGCAGGTGCCCGGCCTGCAGCGCTGGGCGCGGCGGCTGGAGGGCGAGCTGCGGCGCTACAGGTGAGCCGGCGGCCCGGGTGCCCCAGATCAGCTCCCGTTCTCCTGAACCTCAGGTGCGCTTTCCTCCCCTCAACTCGTCCCCGTGTTGTTCACGTCTTCAGGTATTCACCCACCCATCCATCCGTGGGCCTGTTCACCCATAAAGCCCCTCCATTTGCCTATTCGCTGGGGGCAATAGGATATATTTGTTCTTATTTGTTCTTTGATGCGTGCAATAACAAAGATGATAACAGCTAACACTTACCGAGCACCTAAGGTGTGCCAGGCTCTGAGCTAAGCACTTAACCTGACTAAGCACTTAACCTCACTGAGTCCTCACAGCCACCGGACCTGTGAGGTAGGTACCGTTATGTCCCCATTCTCCAGGTGAGGAAACAGATGCGCAGTGATCCCTTGTGCTAGCTCCACCAGGGTAGGAAGCTGGGCTCGGGACCAAGGTTCAAATCCTGGCAGGGCCTCTGACAGATGTGTGACTTTGGGCAAGTCACGGCCCCCCTCGGAGTCCCTGTTTCCTCTTGGACGGAACAGAGCTTGGGGCCCCTGCCTGCCAGGGAGGCTGTGAAGAGGCAGTGAGGCCCTGCCTGGCTCACTTAGGTGCTCGGTAAACAGAGCTCCCTCCCTTTCAAACCACAAGGCACCCGGCCTGCCTGCCTTCCACATTTACTGAGCACCAGCTCGGCACAGGGACTATGCCAGCCACAGGGGGTGTCATTCTGAACAAGACATTCCGCAGTCCTCACCCTGAGCAGCACTTGTGAGCGTGTGAGGTCCCCACGTGAGCGTATGTGTGGCAACAGCTGGCTGCCTGCTGTCAGGGAGAGCAGGGCCCTCGTCGTGCCTGCTGCAGGCTCAGCCAGCGCCTGCACGCCCGACCCGGGAGTGGAGTGCTGAGGGTGGGACGTTACCTGGCGAGATGGGCCAGGGCGGGGGAGCGGGGAGAGCGTGCTAGAAAACGGGAACAGTGTGGGCCAAGCTCAGAGGCAGGAGGGGCCTTGGCCCGGTCCAGCAGCTAAAACAGCAGCTGGAGGGGTAGAGCTGGAGAGGCAGGCCGAGGCCAGGCCAACCCCAATGGCTGTGACAAGGTCTTCAGCCTTTCCCTCGAGAGAGAGCATGAAGCCATGGGAAAGTTCTAGCAAGGGGGCGACAGGAACAGACTTGCACTGCAAAAACATCACCCTGGCTACAGTTGTGACAAAGAGATGGAAGGAGAGGGGAAGGGCAGAAGACAGTGGAGCCGGGCAAGAGGCTGCCGTCCGACTTCAGCCCGAAGGGCAGGCGGTCTGGCCCAGACTGGTGGGCAGGGCAGCCAGAAGGGGTGCCTTTGAACCTAGTTCCTCATCGGGGGGGCCATGTCCTTGACTTTTGAGGTGCTCCCAGCGGGGAGACGAGGAGGCACCACGGTGGAGACAGGAGGCCGGCTCTGGGCTAGCCTTCTGCAGCTCCAAATGTTTGGATAGTCACTTCCTGTTTGCATAGCTGATCGGCCAAAGAGCAGGGCCCGTTGGCTCGAGGCCCGTATCCCGCCTTGGAACTTTCTCCAAGAGGAGAAATAAAGGGTCTCTTCTTTCTTTTGCTCTAAAGTAATTGTCACAGCATGATTGTAAAAATAACTCCAAACATTGGGATAGCTCTTTACAGGAGAAAAAGTGGATCCATACTCAACGCAGTATTTAATCCTCACAAGGACTGTTCAAGGGAGAGGTTTTATCCCCATCTTACAGGTTGTGGGAAGTGAGGCTCCGAGAAGTTAAGTGACGTACCCAAGGTCACACAGCCAGAAAGTGGAAAAGGAAGGTCTGTCTGCCCCCACAGCCTGTGTTCTGTCTTTCCACTTTACCTTTTTTGTTGCTGACTCACGGTTACAAGACGGCTGCTGCACCTCCAGGCCTCATGTCTGCTGTCCAGGTATAAGAAGGACCAGTGACATCGGGGGTGGGAAGGATTTTCTTCTAGTGAGCTTTGCCTTTGTATTCAGGGAGAGGCTCCCCCACCTTCTCCCGCCAGAACTTATACCTCCATCAACTTGGCCAGAACTGCGTCACGTGGCTGCCCCTACCTGCAAGAGCGTCTGGTGATACTGATGCCCCAAACAAACCTAAGGCTCTCTTAGGAAGGAAAAAGGGAGCAGATATTGCAGAGGCTCCAGAGATGCCCAGAGAATGAGGAAACCAAGGACCAGAGAGTGGCCTTCACACGGTGATTAGGGGATGGTTGTCACTTGCTTCCCCGTCCCTGAACCTCACCCAGCCCCAGAAGCAAACCTCCTCTCCCCGTTTTCTGTAGTCAGAGCTTGCAGGTTTGTGGGCTGATTTGCCCCCAAAGCTCTCCCTCTTTGGAGAAAGGAGAGGGGAGGGGATAGAACAGTTGAGAACACTAGTCACGTACCCAAGCTTGATGGACCCAGAACTCAGCTGAGCTTCCCAACTCCAAATCGAACCTCCTTCCCCTTCTCTGCCACCTCCTCAAGGGCCATCTCAGCAACTCTCTTCCTCATTGCTCAGACTTCTCTTTAGTTCTTTCTCAAACCTGAACCTTCTTTTCCCTCCCACTCAGTCCTTTGCTGTGGGTTCTACCCAGTCCTTCCCCTGTTTGTCAGGTAAACCTCCTTCTGTCCCGTCTCTTTGGGGTTGCTGTAACCCCGAGCTTGCCCAGCTCTTCCCATCGTGATGATGAGTTCCCAGTGTGCTCTGTGGTTGCTGCCCATGAGCCTAGCTTTAGCAGAAGCCAGGATCCCGGAGGGTCCCCCTGATCTCCAGGGTCATGGAGCTCGCCCTCTGCCTCAGCCAGGGCCTGATTCTGGGCTGGTTTCTAAATGCGTTTCCTAGCTCAGAGTTTCTCACTACACAGGCGGGGAGAAGTTGAGCTCCACACCTTGGGATAACATCCCAAGGTCAGTCAGCAGGGTTTTCCTCGCCTCTGTCTGTGGATGAGACGGCCCCGGATGGCCCCGGGCTTCATGCAGCGGCCTCCCTGTCTTCACTCGGCATGCAGGGTCTCCTGCCCCTTCCCCACTTGGGCCTCAGAACCCAAGTCCTGACCCCTCAGGGGCAATTCAGCTCCATCTCCTGTTCCCACACAAGCTGGGCATCTTACCTTTTTGTTTTTGACCTTGACTCTGGATTATTTTAAATGGTTATATTCTATCCAACACTCCTGTGTGTTTGTAGATAGAAAGAGAGCTTCCCATAGCACCTCAATCCGCCATCCTGACCAGGAACCTAAGAGAACAGACAGTAAATATTTAAGCCATTGGAAACGCTCATGTATTCGTTCCACGTTTTCTAAGCACCTTCTATGGACAAAGCCCTGTGCGGATACCTGGGTACACAGAACTCGTACAGGCATGCCCAATGCCCTCTGAGGGTCTCCTGGGCCCGAGTGGAACAGGCCATGAACACACATGTTGGGACACAAACATGCTTTGTGCAGATGGGCCCCAAGAGAGCAACTGCTGCTTTCAGAACCATGGGAGTCCTGGATCAGATACAAGCGTTCCACATGTCAACGTGACCTGCAGCCTCCTGGAGCTGGGCAAAGACCCTGGGCTCACCCAGCCAGCCCAGTCTGTGGAGGATTATCCGGTCCACCACAACCCCATCAGCTTCTGCTTCCCACGGCTGGTGTCCTGGGTCCACCTCGTCCCAGATGGGAGACTCAACTCCTCCAAATCGCACAAGAGAGTCCCTCCTCCCAGCACATTTGTGAGCACAGTAACCCTGACAGGTGATCCAGAGGGGAAGACACGGATTACGTTGCAATGATGCAAATAGTTTCATACGGAATATTTGACGTCACGATTTATAAAGTGTCATTTAACCTCTGCCCCCATCCATCTAGAGTGTTTCCCTGTCACTTCTCCCAAACTGCACCCAAACCCTCTCCACCTTTCTCTCCTCTGTTTTCTCTTTCTTCCTATCACCCAGGTCTCTTAGATGAGTGCCAGAAAGCCTGACTCAAACTGACTTGCTCAAAAAAGCTGGCTCTCAGTAAAGTTTAAGCATGTCCAGCTTCAGGCATGGCTGGATCCAGGTACTCAAACAATGTCACCAGGATATGGAAGCTCTGCTTCACTCTCAGGCAAGTTCTCTCCCCTGGTAGCCTCTGGGGCACTTACATCTCGAAAGGTCATCTCTTGTCCGAGCTATCCCACTGGAGTGCCAGGCTGAGCCTCAATGGACAAACCTGGAAACATGTTCATCCCAGAACCCACCAGGGGGCTAGGATGATTGGATGCTCTGATTGACCAAACTTTAGTCATTTACCCACCAAACATATACAGACCCACAGCCAACCCTGTCGAACTCTGAGACTGAGATCCTCCCAGGAGAATCACGGGAGCACGTATTCAAAGGCACACACCCCTGCCTTTGCTCCTCTCGGGAACTCACAGCCCAAATCCCCTTTCTTGTCTCGGGAACAGCCCACCTGTGGCAACTGGAGAATCTCTGAGTGGAGGCCCCGGAAGGAAGCCTGCTTAAACGCAGGACAGGCTTGTCTCAGAGTCAGCTCTCCCAGGCTGCTGAACGCTTTGGGGTAGTTGGGGGCACTCTGCACCGTCACCAACCTTGCCTCAGTGCTTCAGAACCTGCTGGGAGGATGGGCCAAAAGGGTCCGTATCACTAGCCTCCTGGCCCAGCCCGTGAGCCCTCCTAGGGAAGCATGACGTCCTGACGTTGTTTGGCCCAGCACCAGGCCCAGGGCTCCCAGTGAGATGGTGAGTGAACAAGTGAATGGAGCAACAAGCATATGGATGGATGCAGCCTCAGAAACGTCTTGGCAGAAAGGGCATGGGCGTGCAGGAGTCCAGCACCAGGCGAGCCCTGAGTGGTCCAATGGCCTGATCCTGCTTCGAGGGGAACCATCCTCCACCCGGCGACTAGATTCTCTTGAAGCCCCGTGTCTCAGCCATTCCTCTGCCCTCTGCCACCCCTTGCTCTGCGCCCCGGAGGAGAAGCTGGGCCTTTAAGGCACCGGGGCAGCTGCCTGGGGCCAGCACTGCT